TATCTTTTTATTAAATTCTAGCACATTTTGTTGATCATGTCTACACCCACAGCATGTTAATAATGTATGATAGATGTTTCTCTTTCAGAGGGAAGGCCACTTCTGGTTCTCCTGTAATTAGACAGAGAATGTTTATGAAAACAAAGTGGAGTAGACTTGAATAAAGGTTAAAACATTCAACCAAAAAATATTGATTTGAGTTATGAAATCCACGCTGTCTTTAGCGTCTTTTAGAAGCTTTTATTAGATATTGATTTTATAAGATGGCATAAATCTGCATCTGCTTGGTGGGCGAAGCAACTATTTAATTCTGACCTTGGGGATAGAACTAGTTGCTACAGCTGTAATCACCATATCGAGCTAAACAAAGCCAATCCTACGTGCTTCTTTTTGTCTCCGTCTCCATCCTCTGTGTTTACACCACCTCCAATATGATCATCACCATCACCACCAACATCATCATCATCATCATCATCATCCATCATCTCGAGTGTCTTCCTCCTCCTCCTCATCAATGTCATCATAAGTTGGATGTATGAGGTGAGCCCATAGGCTGTATGCAAAGCAGTGTAAAATTATCCACAGAATTAATTTTTAATTTTAATTTTTAATCTTTATGTAATCCGATGGAATTAAGGCATGTTTTTACAGAAATGTAAAGAACATGAAAAAACTGAAAGCTATACCTAAATCTTACTATGAAAGCACAGTATATAAGAAGTAATTCTGAAACTCTTATTAAGATGAAATGAATGTAATTTTCTTATAATATCCATTTTGTGGGAAAGAAAGGGGAGAAATTTCTGCCAAATTGCACGAGTGATGAAATATATTATTTGAACAGCGTCGCCTTTCTTGCTCATTATACTCTTATATGTTCAGAGTCAGCTTGAGGTTCAGAGAAATTAGCTTCTGCAGTAATGAGATATACTGTAGTGGAGTGAGCCATTAGGTTCCTTTGTGTTTACTTAACAACGTCAGCAGTAAAGGGAATAAGGGATAGCTGTGTTTGTAACTGCATGCCTGTGTAGGTTTATGTCTGTGTGTGTGTGTGTTTGTGTGTGTGTATGTGTGTGTGTGTGTAAGATGATTTTCACTTACATGAATATGGATGTACCTTGTTGATTTGATCCCATTTTAGAGGGATTGTATGGGAGGCACAGGATTTTTCATTTGTTTTCTCTTCAATTGGGTGATAAACAAGACTCATGCATAATTGAGTTTAACAGTGGGGTGGCATGATGTTGGGCTGTCTAACCAATCACCTTCCTGTGTGCTCCTGTGCGTTTGTACATTGTCAGAAGAGGTGTTATTTTCAAAAAGTCAGAAAAAAATTCTTTTGAGCAACTCAGTATTTTTATATTGTTTGCTAAATTCTCTGTAGAACGTTTTATTCTGTTCTACAATTTGTAATAAAATCTCTCGCTCTCTGTCTGTCTGTAGGATTTCTTAGTACAGGTGACCAGGCAGCAAAAGGGAACTACGGCTTGCTGGATCAGATCCAGGCTCTGCGCTGGGTGAAGGAGAACATTGCGGCCTTCGGAGGAGACCCAAACAGAGTCACCGTGTTTGGATCCGGGGCCGGAGCCTCCTGTGTCAGCCTGCTCACCTTATCTCACTACTCTGAGGGTAAGGAAGAGCCATAGATAAAAACACTAATGTGTGTCTTTAAAATACAGTATATGAGTATATGCAGACAGACCATTGGGCACCTATGTTAGTTGGTAAGTGGGTGGGTGCTGTGAAAGCTATGACATTTAGAGTTATGAAACATCTCAACGTCTCCAGTGGACCGACACAGCTTTCATTTACTGGTAAGAACGCCTGAATAAACCTTCTGAATAATATAGCCTACCCGTGACTCATATAGCTAAGAGCTGTATTGTTTCAATTTTTAACCCTTACCTACTTGAACCTGGTGCTCTAACCATGACCTGTCCTCCTGTTGAATAATCCATGTCTCTGAGTTCAGTATTTTATTGCTATGGAAATTCTTGTTCTGTATCTATATATAAATCAACGCTCCAAAATGTAAAACCATATTGTTGTGCGTTCATGCATATGTGTGTGGGTGCATGTGCATCCATGAATGTATACATGTGTGAGCCTCAGTGTACATGCTTTATTTGTATTCACGTGTGTGTGTATTTCAGACCTGTTCCACAGAGCCATCATCCAGAGTGGCAGTGCTTTAGCCAGTTGGGCTGTCAACTACCAGCCCAGCAAGTACGCAAGGCAGCTTGGTGAGAGGGTGGGCTGTGGCATCGATGACAGCACCCAACTGGTCGCTTGCCTCCAGGGCCGGAGTTACCGCGAACTTGTGGAGCAGAACATAACGCCGGCCAAATATCACACGGCTTTTGCCCCGGTGATTGATGGAGATGTTATACCAGATGACCCCCAGATTCTGATGGAGCAGGGAGAGTTTCTGAACTACGACGTGATGCTGGGGGTTAATCAGGGCGAGGGCGTGAAGTTTGTTGAGGGCATTGTGGACTCAGAGGACGGTGTCACGGCTGAGGACTTTGACTTTGCTGTGTCAGACTTTGTGGATAGTTTGTATGGATACCCGGAAGGCCGTGATACACTCAGAGAGAGCATAAGGTGAGTGAGCCTGTGGATGTCTGAATGTTTTTATGGAGTAGTTTGAGATTTTGGGAAATACTCTTGTTTGCTTTCTTCCCAAGTGTTAGATGAGAACATTGATAGCACTCTCACGTCTGTTTGTTAAATATGAAGCTACAGTCAGAAGATGATTGGCTTAGCTTAGTCTAAAGACTAGACACAAGGGGAAAAAGCTAGCACCACCTACCAGCACCTCTAATGTTAATTAATTAACATGTTATATCTCGTTTCATTAATTTGTGCAAAAACCAAAGTGTAAAAAGGAAAATTTCTGTTTTTACAGTGGGTTATGTGCTGGACTATTTCTTGGCCAGGAGTAGTGACATCTTCAAATCTTTACTGTGCGGTTGCCAGGCAACCAGCAGAGGCTTGCCAAGAAACAGTCACAGCACATTACTTCTTGCAAAACCACAACTAGATGTTTATATATATATATTTTTTGCATATGCATTAATTAGAAGAGATATATCCTGTTAATTAGTGAGCTTTAATAATGTTGGTAAGTAGATTTTTTTTTGGACAGAGACAGGCTAGCTTGTCTTGTTAAATGCGAAGTTAAACTAACCCTCTGCTGGATGTAGCTTCAGATTTATTGTCAGCGGTATCAATCCTCTCTTCTACCTCTTGGCAAGAAAGCAAAAAAGCGTATTTCTCAAAATGTCAAACTACTCCCTCAAATGATTGTTGAACGTGTACAATATATCTTTGCATACTTTAATAACAATAAAAGATATGTTAATAGATTGGTTGATAGATAAATTGACTTGAATTGATTGGCTGATTTCTAAAGGTTCATGTACACGGACTGGGCGGACCGTGACAACGCAGAAACCCGGCGAAAGACTCTGGTTGCGCTATTTACAGACCACCAATGGGTGGCACCAGCAATCGCCACAGCTGACCTCCACGCTCAGTATGGATCTCCCACATACTTCTACTCCTTTTACCACCACTGCCAGAGTGACGCCACGCCGCCCTGGGCTGACTCTGCCCATGGTGATGAGGTAAGATGATGTCACAATGAGGTGTTGCTTTACAGAGATAACATTAGTGACTTTAGTGCTTGTAAGTAGTGGCATAAGACATGATATTAGATATCAAGGACAGGAGTAAATATATGAAATTTCACAAAAGGTAAAGTGACTGGTTTTGGTACTTGGCAACAGATGTCTGTCTGAAAGAATATTTACACAATGAATCAGGAGCTCTTGGTTTAGATTACGCTTGAAGTGCTGCTTCATATTGATTTGTTCAAAGTGCTTAATACGTTGAATCAAGCAGTCCTCCACAGCATAAAATATTTGAAATGTTCATTGAATTTATATTCCTGCCGGTCTGATGTTGAGGCTGTCTCATCTACATGTTCACTGCTCTAATGATTATTTAGAATGACCTTTGATTTCCATATTTTTTTGTGTAGTTGCACATTTGCTTGCCTAATGTTCAGCACACTGTGTGTCTGGATTGCATTTGTAGTCGGTATTTGTGGGGGTGGATTTCATGATTGGGCATGACTTGTCAAACTGAAGATGAATTTACTGACCTGAGTTTAGTTTCACTGCCATTACACATTATTCAGTTTCTGTCTTCACTTGGATGTGGTTATCATCTGACATGATTCAGTTATGGTTCCAGTTACTGTCAACAGAATAAATGTAATCTGTTGGCTAGAACAGTAAACTATGTGTGTATGTGTTTTTGTAGGTGCCCTATGTGTTCGGCGTGCCCATGGTGGGACCCACTGATCTGTTCAACTGTAACTTCTCCAAAAACGACGTGATGCTGAGTGCTGTAGTCATGACTTACTGGACCAACTTTGCCAAGACTGGGTGAGCTATTAAAATGTACACTGATGTGAAACGTTGATTTCAGCTTAAAAAACCCACTGAGGAGAGTTTATTTTTTCCTTTTTGCTTGACTGTACTATATAAAGAAAATCAAGAAAACAAGACAAAACAAAGCACAGCTTCAGCATGATTAGGTTCTCTTTAGTTTTGCCTTCTTAGACACAGAAAAGCATTTCTAATTTCTGCTATTATTATCTAATCCCCACCTACATGCAGAAAATATGTCATGATAGCGAATGAAAGCCGGGCCATTTAATCACATTTTAAAATGTAAAAGAAAATGCACAGCAGTCAGTCGTTCTTCATCCTTTTATACTTGACTCTCTGCAGAGACGTGGTTTTGGCAACACAGCGTGTTGTTGCTGTAACTGTGGACAGCTCACTCTTGATTTTACAGGAACAAACCTCCTCCAAGCTTGAAATAAGACAGCCAAGACTCAAAGTCTATGGTGTCGGCAAGACAAACAGCAAGTACTTGATGCGTTTTCTTTATGTTTAATTTGTTGGACTGATTTATAGTAAACATGGACATGGAGTGTAATTGTCTGGCAGGGTTCACACAGAAAGAGGACAATCAAAGACACACAATAATAGGGAGAGGATGCAAGGTTTTGTTTATTAACATAGCATTATGACAAGGTATTTGCTAAAATGGATGTAACTATTTTGCATTTGCTAAATACTATTTGGGAAAAATGCATTGGCGCCACTGTGTGCAAGAGCCTGAATCCATTTGTCAAGTTTTTCTATCAAGATAAGAAACATTTCATTAGCATGGAAATAATATTTTTCAGAAAGTTTCATTTGGAAAGGAAATTTAAGCTGAGTGAAGTTGAGATTTTATGATGCATTAGAGGAAAACACTGGAGTTTTATAGCAACAAAAATAATGAGCTCATAGGCAAAGGATATGGTATTATAATGTCTTTTCCTTCAAAAGGTCTCTGATGTCTGACGAGAAGACAGTACTTTAGATACTATCATGAAAGCAGCACTGCAGACTAATTTTGGCAGAGGGTGCACAGGTTCTCTGTCATGTCAAAATCTTGACAAGGCTTTTCTTCTTTGGACCTTGGCTGAGAAAGTTAAAGAACCCCTGCTCTTGAAAAAGTCCTTGAGGAAGGCCAAAGTAATGTCCTAAAAAAAAAAAGAAAGATTAGCCACTGTTTGATAAATATTCTCCTCTTCTTCTCTGCTTCTGCATCCTCATTCATTTATGGTCAAAACTGGTGCAATGAGCTTATTCAATATGCTAAATCAAAATCAAAATGATCTGCCATTAGCTAAAAAAGCCTCTACAGATTCAATTAATTAAATTGAAAGGGTAATGATTTGCCAGTAGCTAAGAAAACTACAGTTGTTGAAAGAATCCACGACTTAAAAAACCTGATAGTCCACACTGATAAGAGTACCTTTTATCTGCCCACTCTGACACGATATACATGATAAAAGTAATTGTTGAGGATGGACCCTCTTTCTGCACTGCTCCAAGTGAGTAATTACCAGTAATTAATCCAATCGAGGCTCACTCCACTGAGACCTCTTCAGATTTACAGAGACATCTGCAGTCTAGACCTTGATCTAAATCACCACAGAGCCTTGCTATCTCACAACATACAGAATTAGGACAGCGTTCTCACATAATTTGACTTTGGCATAGAAAAAACAAATTTTTTTTTCTTTAACGCATCCAGTTAGCAGTTTCTAGCCCCATAGTCAGTGTTGTCATTACAAGCACAACAAGCTGCAGAGCAAAATCACCTAGGAGGCATGAGAAGATTTCAGTGTGCACTTCAATTATCAGTGGGGAACTTTCTCTGAAGAAACATTTCACTCGGTTGAGAGTGCCTCAGATGGTGATGGAACTCTGCGACAGCTCAATTTAACAGGGAGGATATGATGCTCCCTGATGTATATTTTGTAAGCCTCTGCGTGGGCGTATAAATCCTCAGCCTGTGTGTGTGTGTGTGTTTGTGTGCCGGTAGGACTTTTACGCAAGCTGCCTTTGTGTGCTGTTCATAAGGTGATGATTGACAAGTGAGCACATAGCATGTAACTTGCGAGTCTGTGAAGATGTGCGGATGTTTCATTTACGCCATTTTCGCTGCCGACACAAATAAGTCGGTGAATCAACATATAAATGCCTGTCTGTCTCTATGTGTCAGGGAGGTGATTTTTCAGGAGATTTTCACTATACCATACACAAACATTCATCTTTTGAATGTTTGTTAGAAGGGCAAATATACACACACTGTTTGAACTGTGCATGAACTAAAATGGTTTGTAAGAGGCATATAAAGTGGACAAAAATCAATCATCTGCAACTAAATCACCTTTGAACTATGTTTACAGGAAAATTGTTCCGTACAAATATTTTTTGCCACTGTTTTCTGTTATGTTACTTTGATATTGATTTGAAAGATGTGTGCCAGCACTGGTGAAACTGTTGGCCAGCATGAGAGAAACTCACACTCTCAGCGGACAGTAGCCAGCTGAGAAAAAGTCTTCAGCAGCTCCGTAAGGAGTATCTGACATTTGAAAAACTGAAGAGCATGAAATGTTGGTGTTTATACTTCCAAGGAATGTGTGCATTACAGAGGGTAGAACACTGAATCACTGCACTAAAATCCTTCAGTTTTTAAATATGACACTGAAACCCTGTATTCTCGGTTGCATTTCTTGCATTTCTTGGTTTATTTAATCTTTTGTTGATCATATTCATGATTTGATTTGCTGACATGCTTTTCATCTGTCAAGATTTTCACAGGTGCTGAAGGTTATTTCACTATTGCTGAGTTGATTTTTTTGTTATATATTCCTTTGTTTCTTTTTTTTCCTGTGTATCTTTTTCTTTATGATTACAGCTATTTGTAGAACAACAGGTTCAGCGGGGATGAAAAGTAATGTCTTGCCTAACACAAGTGATGAATGCCTCCTATTTGTTTTTCTATAAACTAAAAAAAAAACTTACATAACGTCCAACAACCACACACAACCCATCTAGATGTGAGTAAATAGCTCATTGTTGTTTCACTCTTTCCAGTGACCCAAACCAGCCGGTTCCTCAAGATACCAAGTTCATCCACACTAAACCTAACCGTTTTGAAGAAGTGGCCTGGTCTAAGTACACCCCTAAAGAGCAGCTATACCTCCACATTGGCCTGAAGCCCCGTGTCAGAGACCACTACCGTGCCACCAAAATCTCCTTCTGGCTCCAGCTGGTCCCTCACTTGCACCATGTCAATGAACTCCTCCAATCGGTGTCCTCCTTCACGCATAGTCCCTCTCCGCAGGATGACACACCTTACTCTTACACTAAACGTCTGGCCAAAGGTTGGCCGCCTAGTAGTACACGTCATCCAAGTTCTCAAGGAGGTACTCCACAGCCGCCAGAGTCTGCTTTAGGCCAAGGTGGAGGGGAGAACGGGGTCCGCGTTCCTAATGAGGACTACTCAACTGAACTCTCGGTGACGATTGCGGTGGGAGCATCACTGTTGTTTCTTAACATCCTGGCGTTTGCGGCTCTGCTGTACAAGAAAGACAAGAGGCGTCTTGAGCATCGTCGGCCACGTCCACTTCCACCCCCGAGGCGGGACATCACACCTGCAGATGTTGCCGCCCACCTGCAGGGGGAGGGACTGATGTCGTTACAGGTTAGTCATGTGTCTTTTGTATTTTTATTGTGCAAGTGTGTGAATTGTTTTTCTGCCAGTGTAGACACTTTGTAGTGTCTGTGTGCTTCTATAGCCACATAATTTTAGGTCATTTTGAAAAGAATTGTGCTTATTGTTATAATAATGGCACATATTATCATAAATTTAAGTAAGATCAAGCCAGTTGAGGTTGTGCGTGTGACTGTCTGAATGAACGCCTTTCATGCCAGTGGAGTAGCTGCCAGTAGAGCACTTCTGCAGAGCACAGCCTGTCATCAGCAGACATTATCAGTGTGAGAGTGCGTGTGCTTGTGTGTGTGTGTGTCTGTGAGCATGTTTTGATGCATGTGCATGTGTGAGTTGTGTCCAATTGCCTGAATTGCTTCCAGTAGCCTCCAATTCATCCACATTTGGCCTCTTTTGTGCTCCGTTAGTTGCTCTGAAATCTCACACAGTAAAGTGCTAAATGTCAGGTCTCTTTTATAGCTGACAAATCCTGTTAATTGGCAATTGAACTACAGTAATGTAGCTCCACATAGCATCTGCTTTTATAATTGTGTTTTATTTATTTTAAATGTAATTTCTTTTCATGTGGTGTTTTGTGCCATTTTGCACACCGGTGGTAGATCTGCTGTGACAAGGAAACATCAAGCGTAGTGTTTTTGTGTTAGCATACATGATTGTCATGTACTTTATTTTTGTGTTGTACGTAATTCTGGCCAGGAAAAAAACAAAATAGCCCAGAGGATGACATAAAAATCAGCAACCCAGTCAGAAGTGGTTTGTGATGATGGAAAATAGTAGGTGATTTAGCTAGAATTAGATTTGATCTCAGGACTGGCGTAAACCCTCAATTTACCCCAAGAATGTCGACTCTAAATAGATAATTTCACTAATTTCAATGCATAATGGTGGTGATTTTAAAATGATTGTTCCTTAAGGTGAGATTAATGCTCACGAGAGGTTTGAGGTGCCAATCTACCACAGAGATATGGTGGTTGCCAGTTTTTTCCTTTTTAACTTTTACATGATTTTCAGACACAATTGTTGTCAACAAATGTTGGGCTGGGCGATCATAAAGTATTATATATTGATTTGTCAGTGTTTTGTCTGATGAAATGTATAACAGTGGAACAGAAGTTGTTGTTGTTATGTATATATATATATATATATATATATATATATACATACATTGTAATAATATTGCAATATTCATTATGGCCATATATTTCAGCCATAATAACTTGAGTGGAGCTGAAACGATTAGTTTATTAATCAGTTAGTCAACTGACAGAAAATAAATCAGCAACTATATTGATAATATAGTTTGATTAATGGTTTAAAAAAAAGCCTGAATGCCAAATGTCAAAACATTCTCTGTTTTCAGCTTCTCAATTATTGGACAATTTGCTGCTTTGCTGTTTTATTTCACTGTAAAGTTGCTTGGACTTACTTTAGGCTTTAGGAAATTGTGATGGATGTTTTTCACTATGTTATAGAATAGGATTCATAATTAATAAAAAAAAAACAATTGGTAGATTAATTGATAATGAAAATACTCCTCAGTGGCACCCCTAGATTATTTATTTTTAAGTTTCTTTCCCTTTCTGTCTCTATGTGTTGCTTTAACTCCTTATCGTCCTCTCATCCACCCATTCAACCTTCCAGGTGAAGCAGCTGGAGTGTGATGCAGCATCAGCAGATGAGAGGAACAACGCTCACCACCATCACACACTGGATACACTGGATGCCCTGGATGGCTTGGACACCCAGGACATCTACAGCACACTGGACACCGTGCGCCTCACCTGCCCGCCCGACTACACCCTCACGTTGCGCCGCTCACCTGACGATGTCCCCCTCATGACCTCCCTGACCCCAGGGTCGCTGCCTGTGACCCCAGGGTCACACCCTGTTACCCCGGCGACGCCGATGACTCCCATGACGCCTGGATCAGTGGTGGGGATTAGGATGGGGCATCCACACCAGGGATACACACACCATAGCCCATATAGTAATACACACTTGCCACACACACACATCTCCACGCACACACACTCCACCACGCGTGTATAACCGCAGCAAGATACTTGCACATACAGGGACATAATTACAAGTCACACATGCTAACACACTCACACACGCACACACACAGAGACACACACATACAGACACATAAAACAAAAGACTTAAATACCTCTACTAATTACCCTGCAGGATTGTTACAGATGGAGTGACAGAAAGACATTTTCAGTAACAGGATGAAAAGACAGACAGCTGTGTGTTGCATGTCGGGGAACTGAAGACAAACTGGATCCCGGGAGATGCAGTTCTATGCATCATTCGCTCATAACCTGGAACAAGACGAGCCAAGACATCCATCAAACGTCTCAAAGCCTGCTTTGGATATTGAATCCTCTGCTTTTTCTACACCTGAGGAGGAAGAGGAGGAGTACTGTGGCAAAAGGGTCAGTTATGGATCAGTTTACATCTCCTACTGTACCTGTGCTGCACAGTGAAGCAGTGCTGGGACTGAGCAGAGCAGATGTCGATGCAGAACTGAGCTAAGAAGTACCACACACAGACTGCTGATGTCAACTTGAACAACCTGTGAAATGTGAATGTAGCATTTTTTCCATTAAAAGATCAAAGGCCCTATCTGCCAAGGATCAACCTAAGCTGAGGAGAAAAAAAAACAAATTTCAGCCAGAGATGGATGTAAAAACAGACAGAGAGGAAGAGGGGATTAAAAAAAAACAACATTAGCTGAAGGAAAAGTTAGTCAGATGGTGTGAAAGAGATTAAGAATTCATTGAGAGGGATTTAACAGCTGTGAGTGCGAGAAAGATGAAGTGAGATAGAGATAGAGTGATATGGAAAACACAGGAACGGAAGTGTGCCAAGAGACAGAAATTAGCTTCAGAAGAAGAAGGGGCCTCTGAAGTGTTGTCAGATTTACTGAAGAATCACTCTAACCAGCTATGTGTTAAACTCTTGTAAATAGAATGGAAAGATACAGATGATATATTATGATTTATAGCATTTACCTGCTCTTGCATTAAAACATGACTTATTTAACCACATTATTGCTTTCATTTCAGATATTACTATATTATTGTATAGATGTCCTGAAGCAAGGCTGGTTGTCTGTTTATCTCACCCACTGTAGTATGTACACAGTACCTTTATTTAAAGGCTATATTTGCTATGCACAGTCATTTCAATAATTCTTAACTATGTAAACATCTAGATACCTGTTTAGTAGTTGAAGTATAAGACATTTTTCACAACCATCCTGTCTATTTGTTTGATCATCGGATGATGAGCTAGTACTGTGTAGATAATGCAATATTGGTTTGATGATTGAGCACCAGCCAAAAACCATGACCCCTAACCCTTTGAACCTAATCCCTTCCCGTTCTCCTTTCCCCCCTTGGTCCTAAAATTTTCTTTAAGGACTTAGCCGTAATTTCCTACTAAACCCAACATTAATTAATGTCTCTGCAGACAGACAGGTGGTGATGATTCAGGGGGGTCACAGCGTGTCCCAAGAAGTCAAGAATGCTTTTTCATATTTGTCTGACCTTTATGTTTAACACCTTACCAGGGGCCCCAGTATTTAAGAGCCCCTGCTTGAACTACCTAATGCTGACTGAAACCTTGTCCCTCTCAAAGCCACCGATTGGAAGAATTTGGCCAAGTTGCATTTCATTAATATAATAATTGTTGAAGCCCAAAATGTTGTGTAGTGTAGACCCAGATTTTCCAGCCTGGGATTTGGTTTACTATCTGCTACAACACTGTCAATTGTTTGGGTACATATTTGATTAATTAAGGGGAGCGTGGGTGGAGCTGAGGAGGGATGATCACATCATTTGTGTGACAGTTTGACTCGACATTGATGGCAAACACACCTCCAAACATACCACCTTTTAAGCCTTAATATCCTCGAGTCTTAATGGAGCAATATTTTTTCAAATTGCTACCAAGACACGCTTTAGAAGATGTTAAATTAATTATTAAAACCCCAACCAGCATCTTGTAGAAATAATGATTGACTTTATTTCCGAAGAGTTGGAGGTTTTTCTGCTGACTTCACAGCGAATGCTCGAGGGCGGCAGTGGTTGCTACTATGTGTCATCATAATAAGATTTGCAGCATTCATAAAATCTATTTCAACCAATTCTTATTGACATTCATGTGGCAGAGATGTGGCACTGTCATGGCTGCCACTAAAAATGACAAATGGTCAAACTCTGTCTATCTGGTTGCTACTGTAAAGATAAAAACCTTATATTCCAATTAAATAACCACCCCCAAACTCCCACACCTTGATTCTAACCAGTAACTCAGCCAAACGCCCTAACCCTGATTTAGTATTTTTCCTGTTTTATCTTTTCTATCTTACCTTTTCCTGCTCCTTACCTTACCCTAACCTGTCCCTTCCACCCCTGCTCTGCCCCCCTCCCCCTCCCAGCCTCATCTGTGCGACTACATGCAGCTTTGTCACAGTGAGGCCTATTTAACCTCCTCTCATCCTAAGTAACTTCTTCATGAGAGATTTTAGTTAATTGTCAACAAAATACATGAAAAATGAAAGCCGAAGACATTTGTGGATGGCAAGCAAAGAACTTTTACAAAATGATGTAAAAATAACATTTGACGGATGTGTTTGATTGACTGAATAATTTTTTTTCATATGGGTTTATTGACTCAGCGGACGGCTGGATTGTGTCAAGCATAAAACATTTCTGCTGCATTTTTGAAAAATAAAAATATCAGTATTTTACAATTTATGAGCATTTTAAATGTCTTGTATGTCTTAATTCAGAATATTTATGGTAGTGTTCATAAAAATGTGGAGGGGATGTAGGATGTCAGTGTCAGCGTTATGTATATATAATGATTCCTTACCACAGAATTTGCCAAATGATGCACAGCATACTAATGAAATATGGAGTAAAAGTACTATTACTAAAAAAACATTCTTTTAACTTAGTAAATTCAATTTTGGTTATTGAAACGTTACATTTTATTTATAGTATTTTCAAAGAAACAATCACAGACATTTTTCTTTATTTTTAGCATAAACTGGAGGGAGGGGGGAGTAGCTAGCCTGGCTCTGTCTAAAGATAACACAATCCTCCTACAAGCACCTTTAAAGCTCACCAATTAATATGTTATATCACATTTATGCGGAATAAAAAAAAAAAAGTGGTTTTATGGGCAGTTATGTGCTGAACTATTTCTTGGCTGGCAGCAGTGACTCATGGTGACTACCACACTTGATCACTGCAATTGAACATTAAATAATTTCAACTATATATAAATATAATATCTGTAAAGTCACAATTTGTCATTTTTATTCTTTGGTTTTGCATATTGTGATATAACATACTGAACCACTAGAAGTATTGGTAGGCATGCTGTTTAACCTTTTAACTGAGTCAAACTAGCTGTTTCCACGATTTCATGCTAAGCCAAGCTAATCAGCGGGTGGAGGTAGCTTTATATTTAGCGTACAGTGAGTGGTATCGATCTTCTTATCTGACTCTCTGCAAGAAAGCTTATTCCTCAAATTAATTCTATATGGATTATATTTAACTCTGCTTTATAGTGCATATGTGGTACAATTACTGAAGTCACTACTGCAGCAAAATAGGAAGATATTACTATAAATCATCATGGAACCAGCAGCCCCTGCCAGCTGGCCAAGGAGACCCTGTGAGATGTGAAAGAACCAAATTCATGGCTGACTTCCAGACCAGATTGATGTCTCCTACACTGTGTCCCTGCTCTAATCCTATTAACTAGATATAAGTGCAGTTAATTTGATTTATGGCAGACAACACATTAGAAAGCACGAGTTCAAGTCATGACCAGGTGTTTTTTTGTTTGCCGTCAACATGTGCAGAAAGCGACCTGAGAAGCCGGTTGCTCAGAACTGAAAAATCACTCTAACATTACCATTTCAATTTAGAACCACTGCCTACGTAGCAGACTAACTTGGACACAGAAACACATTTTCCCACAGCTTAATTAACATCTTATATTTTGTTTCTTGGCTTTTGCTTGAATGGTGGAAAGGTAATTTCTGCAGGATATTTTTAACTTTTAAACAACAGAAGTGGAAAACTCTGTCTGCCAAGTTGAGCCCAGAAATGATATGTGTACCAAGATGTGTCCAGATGGTGGGGATTGGAACATTTTCACAGATACCTGACTAATATTTAAAAACTAACTGTAAAGCATCTGGAGACTATTTCAAGGTAATATTTGGCTGTGATGGATAACTCCTAAGTCTCAAGCATTTAGTGTTTAAGTGTTAGCTAATTGAATACCTGTCAGATTTAAATTCCACCTTGAAGTGTTGCTATTTTTTTTAATCCAAATGCAAATCTTCAGTGGAGAGTTCACTGTCTCGCATGTGAACTGCTGTAAACAGCCAGTGAGTCCATGCTCATTTTGTGGAGACAATGGCCATTGTGACAACTTGTCTCTACACCCTGCATGTCACTTAGTGCAGATGAAATTAGCTTTAAGCACAAACAGAGCAGGGAGTCACGACACATTCTGAATGAGATGCTTAACCACTTGATTTAACAAAGAGTCTACAGCCACGTTAGAGGCTCTGTGAGGTTGCATTTAGGCACAGTGATGCTTGGGGTTAAATGAAAACATTCTCACATGCTTACAGTGACAATGCTAACATGCTAATGTTTAACAAGTATAATGTTCACCGTCTGTAGTGTGTTGGTGTGCTAACATCAATTAAACACAAAGTACAGCTGAAGTGGAAGGAGATGTTATTAGGTAGGTCAGGGGGCCACTTTTCATCCTGCAGGGGAACATGAATGTAAACATTTCATGGCAATCCATTCAACGTGGTGAACCGACAGACATTGCCATTGCTAGAACCGCTGCTAGTTTCACTTAAATTAACACAGAATCTTCTGGCTTTTGATCTGAGCAAATTACCCCTGCTTATGTTGCATCCCACAGTGTGAAAGACTGTGACAATGTCAACTCCTCCTGCTTTTTTTCTTTCTAGGGGAATGGAGGGAATGAGTAGGGAGGGAAGGAGGAAGATAAAGCTGAAAAAAAGGGTTGAGCAAGGAAATATTGAAAGAGGAGTGGAAGTGCGGGATGCCTGATGAATGATAATGGGACATGGAGAGGAGGAGTGAATGAGATAATGTAAAGGAGAGTAAATAAAGGATGCTTGGAAGGAGAAGAGGAGAGGAGGGTAACAGATAAGGGGAACTCATTAAGGAATGGGACACAGCCTGTTGGTTGTTTACTGGCTGGCAGGTTCATTGTACTTAATCACTCCTGCCAAGACGCGCGCACACACACACACACACATGCACATGCATGCTCGAACGTACACTTGCATTTTGATGCATGTCTGCCGTTACTGATACAAACACACTGTGCACATATTCATGCATGCCTGCTCATGCCCACTCAATGCACACACACACACACTATACTGCAAGCCTCATAGCAACTTGAGTCACAGAATCATTTTCTCTGTGGCCTTCATCACTCTCTTTCTCTCCCACTATTACACTATCTTCTTATCTCTTCACACTTCCTTTCGCCTCCCTCTCATCTTCTTTTGTTTTTTCTTTTAGATTTATATATCTCTTCTTTCTTTCTCGTCCTCCGTGCTATCCTCCTGTTGGTCTCCTCACTATCACAATCTTTCCTCCCATTCCTTCGTCACCCCCACCCCCTCCTTTCCTTTGTCTGGATGAGTTCCCTCTTATCTAACAACCTTGAGATGATCTTCAAAGCGTCATTGTAGCTGAGCATGTGAGGTCACAGCGTCTTCAGCCTCTCTTCTCCTCTTTTCTCATCTGCCTGCGTCTCTCTCGTTCCACTCCTCTCCACTGCACTTTACTACTCTTCTTTTTTGGCTCTCCTTCTTCCAATCTAATCTGCCGTCCTCCTCCTCCTCCTCCTCCTCCTCCTCCTCCACTCTCTCTCTCTTTCATCTCACACTCCATTTCTCTCCTCCTCTCCTACATTTATCTCTACCTCATCTGGCCTCATCTCCTCTTGTCTGATCTTCACTCCATCTCTGCTTCGTGCCTCCCTTTCTCCTACTATCTTCTCCTTTCCTGCTTCCAATTTTCCTCTCTATGTCTCTCTTTCCCCTCCCCCCTCCTCTCACTGCTCTCTCCCCTCCTCTTTTTGCCCAACTCATTTACTTCCCTCCGTTCTCTTTTCATCCCTGTTTTCTTCACTCCCTCCTCAACTAAAAAGCTGTGAAAAGAGGTGATACAATATCCCCTTGTGTGTGTATACATACCTGTTTTTGCACATGTCTGGGTTTTTTAGTGTGCTGTTGTGGGGATGTTACACGCCTAACTGTCTTTCGGCAGCCGAGAGCCCTGCAGTGTTTTTCGCTCTCTAATTAATTAAGCGTGGGTTGCTCTAGTCTGTTTATTGCTTGTCTGTTTCACTTGCTTTTTGCCTGTTGACCATCTGTCTCTCTCTCACCTCTGTGTTGCCATTATGGATCAGTCTGTCTACCTGTTTATCCGTCAGCTACATATATCCGTCTCTCTGTCTGCTGTCTCGGCTGTCTAACCCCCCCCCCCCCCCCCCCCCCTTTATCTTTCTGTCTGCCTGCCCGTCTCTCTTTCTGTTCTGATTGTATGCCCCGCCCCGTCAGACTTCTCTCTGTGGGAGCATTGCTACATAATTCAGTCTTCTCTGAATGTTTTCATAAGGGAGCGTAAACAACAGCAGTAACCCAGTTGGTCCAGCTGAGGTCAGCATTGTTCCTGATAAATTAAGAGGAGGAAAAAAGGCCTTGAGGAGAGAGTTTAGGGCAAAGTTTCACTCTTTAAAAACCCTAATCTGTTTATTTCAGAGCGTAATAATTATGGGATAAGAGGGTCTCCACAGAGGAAAAAGGGAAAGAAAGGGAAAGTAGCTTTTCATCATGTGCGCTGTTTCTTTACAAAGCAGCTTGTTCACTGTTACAGGAGAATCATACCACACCTTTTGGATACACAAGATACGTAGCAGTCATTTTCTGAGAATTATAGGAATGACTACTTATAATAATCAGTTAAAAACAACATTTAGTAGAGTCAAGAGAATCAAACATGTATAAACATTTTCATTTTCAGCATATGTACAAATTGTTGATGGTGACAACATGTTGTCTGTCATTAAATACTTCTACTATTCCTCAATATTCTTTATTTTCCTCAGAAAGGATTGAGGAGAGTGTGTGTACCATACCCTGTGTGTGTGTGTGTGT